AACTGTTTTTGTAGAAAGGAGGCTGTTGAACAAGAGGACTCTAGTTTGGGCATCTCTGTTGCTCTTCAGTGTAGCACTACCCTATCTGGATAGAAGCAGCCTTTTAGGTAATCCACTATCAAAACAAGGACTGTAAAAGCTAAACCCAACAAACTAACTTCCACCCAAACTCTTACAGGCAACCACCTTGGTCACAGAGCTTTAGTGTTGGGTATTTTACTCTAGACCGCTGGAAACTCTGGACCCAACGGTGAAAGCCAACAGTTGAGGCAGCTGCACATAAAGGAACGGCTCCAGCCACTGAACAGCCAGCAATACCAAGGAGCCTGAGCACGCATCTCAACTATCAATATATACCTTCATTTAGACATGTATCACTGAGCATCCTCAGATGTTCCAGTGCTTCTGCCCTCTGACGGGCATTCATTTTAATCCTGTCTATACCATGTGACAGCTACTCTGGGTCCCATTGAAGATGACCTGGCAGCCTTGTGCCATGGCAGTATCTCCTTGGTGTCTGCTGCAGATAAACACTCACATGACCTCCTGCTGTTCAGAAGATCACGTCCCTAGCTCCCGCTCCAACAGCCTCATGAAGCCCAATTAACAGCTACCAGTGTGCCAGCAAAAACAACTGGCTTCCAGTTAATCAGTTTTTTGGACAGGTACTTCATTGCATTTTTCATAATTATGGTAGCCAATCGTTACGGTATTTGGGTACGTGGTCTCAGTCACTCATGCTAAAGACAGAAACAGATTTATATGACCAGTGCCTACTTCTGTTTCAGACTCACACCTAAAACCAGATTGGACTTTGAAGCTAGTGAGCCATGTGAGCACAAGGAGCAGCTTCTTCCCTGACCTCTGCTGATTTGTTTCTCCTGTTGTAATATCCGATCTGGTGGAAATATGAAAATCAGCATAGTGGGCTATCAAGAGAACACGTACCGGGGATTTCGTTTTGTTCTTTGAAGTGCCCTTGAAGTTTCTGTAGACAAAGCATAGTATCTTCTGCCAAGGGAAGTTACTTAAGGGAAACCTCCCTCCGAGAAGCCTATTTTCAGAGTTCCTCTACCTGCATATTGAACAACCTCCTGCGGGTATTTAGACTAAAGAGAAGTCATCTTACTTAAAATATTCAAAATGCCAAGTGATCAGTAGCTGAAATTGTCACCCTGAAGAGTCATCATCAACATGGCAGAAACAAGAAACATTATACCCTAAGGGGAAAAAAAACCCCATCCCTGTACATATAAAAGTTGTAACAGAAGAAAATACTTTTCCCCCAAGACGTGGCTGTTGCACACAGAGTATTTACAAAATTCAGACCCCCAAGAAAAAGCGAAACAGTGACACTTCGCCTTCATTTGTAAACATTTACATGTTAAATAGAGCAAATCAGAATTGCACAGCAACAGATACCAGGCTAATCGCTGCAGTAATGGCAGAGGCTGCTGCCTTAAAAACACGTACTAACTCCGTTTTTTATAGGATGGCACCCCAGACTCCCCACTACTTGGATCTATCCCTGAAATCCCCCTTTTCCAAGGCACAGTAACAGGCCACAACTCCCCCGCCTTAGCCGACGCCCCGAGCTCTGGGCTGCCTGCTGGCCAGCTTACGCCGTGCCCGGGCTGCTCGGCGCCAGAGACCAGCCCGGAGGAGCCCCGGCCTCGAAGGGCTGGGCTCCGCGCTGCCGCTCACGCAGCACCGGGGCGGCGGCACTGCCACAGCCGGCCCCGGGGGCCCGCTCGGGGGCAGCCCTGAGG